TGTGATGGCCAGCTCCGCTGAGAACAAAGGGAAATGTGACGGTCACCACGTGACCCACCGGCAGGCCGTCTCGCCTTCCTCCGGCCACAAATAAAACTTGTGAATCTATCTAAACACACACATCTAAACTAAGCCGTGCACAACACACACAGTAATACACGCACGCGCCGCGCGTTTAAAAAAAAAAACCCAGATCTGAATACAAGCAACCCGTACGTCAGAAGTTCCACGAATAACTTTAAATTAGCTTACCAAACATCCGATTCAGGAGATGGTACGAACACCCAAAGAGGAAGATTATAATTTAGTTTACAGCCTAAAAAGCGGAGTTTTCGAGCCACGCGGCTAACAAGGTAACTTCTGCCTACCTTTTATCGTTGCTGGGCCCAGAAGTTCCAATGTGGGGGTTCAGCACCTTCTCGATCCAATTTGTGGTCCCGTCAGCTGCAAGTTCGAGGTCACCAATTGTTGTGGCTTATGAGAACCACATTGGTGTTCAAATCAGCTGAAGCGGTACCTTAGTTCAAAAGATTTATTTGACAACGGATTACAAGTATTCAGAAATCATGAAACAATTACAATGTATGCATACAGAGGGCATTTTATCAGAGCAGACCTTATTCATCGAAGTTCTCCCAGCAAATGCCCCGACCTGCCCTCTCGCTCTGCATCTTATCACAGATTTTTAGCAGCTCTGCTTCTGATTGGTCTAACCAACCTGTTGTCATGGTTACGGGGCTCTTCTGGCTGTTAGATACGTCTTGGAGGTCACATACCAAAGATAAGTTTATGGCTCTTTGTTAAGAGACGCTAATGTTTTTAGCTGCAGATTTCACCTCTGAACTGCTCACAACTGTTAAACGATTAAATGCTACTTTCTATTATCTTTACTAATTATGTTTAGTCACTATATTAAGTTTAAGCAACCTCTATTAAGTTTAAGGTAGAAAGATGTGTTCTAGATGTTTTAATGTCCCTCAGTCTGTGTGTGTGCGTGTGAGTGTAGGTGTGTGTGTGAGTGAGGTGTAGGTGTGTGTGTGAGTAAGCATGTGTGG